CCTGATGGCACCTGGTATTTCTGGCCACTGTGTGACACAGAGTGTTGGACTGGAGGGGCCAATGGCCTGATCCAACACTGGCTTCTCTTATGTTCTTATAAGAGGGAACTGGATAAGCATATGGAGCAGAGGTCCATCAGTGGCTGTTAGCCACAAGGTACAGATAGGGACTCTGGGGCAAGTGATGCTCCATCTTGGTGCTTGGCGGGGGGATCAACAGTGGGAGGGCTTCTAGTGTCCTGGCCCCACTGGTGGACCTCCTGATGGCACTGGTATTTCTGGCCACTGTGTGATACAGAGTGTTGGACTGGGTGGGCCTTTGGCCTGATCCAACACTGGCATCTCTTATGTTCTTATGACTGAAACCTGAACTCCTTTCAGTAGCGTTTTGACACCCTTGCACAGACAGGTGCTCTTTTGGGCCCCTCTACCCAGCCTAATTACCAACTACTGATCAGAAGAATGAACGAAGCGGAGGCAGGCGTGCAAAAGAGCTCCTAAGGGTCAACGTCTTTCATGCTTTTGCCACCTGAAGGTGGCTCAGTCCAAGGCTCACCGTTGATGTATGTCTGCTCGTAGATCTCGGTGATGCTGAGCAGGCCGGCCCCTTGCTGTTCACAGCTCTTCCCAGCCTCCTGCCAAGACAGGGTGGACTGGAAGTTGAACTGGTAGCAGCTGCCGGTGAGGTGGTCCCTGTCCCAGAAGGTATCACAGTCATTGCCTACAAAGGAGGGGCATGAAAAGGGATGTCAATGCAACCAGTCTCCACGTTAATTAACCAGTCCTTGACATTAAGAAATGTTGGAGAGACCCGCTTGTTTTGTGGCACATTTGGGGTTACTGTAAACACTCCTTTCCAGCCTGCGGGGAAATGGTCCTAATGAGGAAGGAAAGGCATAGCAATGCTTAGGAGGAGGAATGAAGGGAGGATGTAAGGCAAGTGGGGCAGGTAAAGAGTACTTTGGGAATGGGGGGGAAGGGTTCACGTGGATTTGCTAAACTACGTGGATTTGGGTCATTCAAAGGTCAAGCACTCTTTTCTGTTATATGGTCCATTTTGTTTTTCAAATCAGGTTGTATGTTAAGACATACACCCCACCCTGAGTCCTGCAAATAAGGGCAGGGTGTCATTCCAAATTTTTAAAGGATTAAGTAAAGTGAGTTTCCCACCAAACCTTCAAGTGTACACCTTGCCTTCGTTACCACAAAAAAGGCAGGCCAGAGTGCATTGATGTGGCAGGAGTTGACTCGAACGGAGTTGACCTTTTAGGTGGTAAATTCAGGTACTCTGACTTCTTGGCTATCAGCACCCAAGGAAATTATCCTCCAACTAAGCCAGTGCTGCAACTTTTGCTAAACTCGCAACCCGCATCATCCCTACAGCTCTCTGTCTGTGAGCCCCTCGCCGCCCCACCACAGGCCGAACGACTGCACTGCCCCGAACGCTCTTCAGCTTTTCCGACTGCTATGGGGAAAGGGTCAGTCACAGCACACTGGAAAAGACTGCCGCTGCTTTGAGGAATGACAGTCAGGTCTGTTTGGGGGGAACCAGACTTTGTGTGCCGTTGGCGGGAGGGAGACTCCAACGGCACGGAGCGGCTCAAGCGGCGTGGTTGAAGCTCACGTTCTGTGGCCTGGTGGCTGGAGAGTGAAGGAGAAGAGTTCAGGATGGTAGCAATCTAGAAGGGCATACCAAGCAGGCTGGGAAACAAGCTATGCAGGGTCTACAGGAAGGAGAGGCCACACGGCACAGGACAGCTCAGCAGGCTGCACCCCTGAAGGCCAAGAAGTCAAAGGGAGAAAGGAGATAGGAGCAGCAGCAGCAGATGAGGTCCCACGGAATCCAACTGAGACGTGCCTCTTTTCACTTCATTGGGTGGGCTAACTAATGATAAGTAACCCAACCACCACCAGGGACCGTGATTCTGCCCCACACAGAAATAACTTACTCTTAATGGGGCAGAAGCCCCATCTCTCGTCTTTGCCGTAATCCTGTGTCGTGGCACACCAGAGGTGACCATCCTCACGACCCATACCGGTGCAATCGTAGAACCAAAGGTTATCGTACTTGAAGGGGATTGTGCAGGGCTTCCCGTGCGAGTTGCCTTGGATGGTGTAAATTTCTGCAGAGGAGAGAGAAGGTATGACTTATACTCGCCCTCCTCTACTGTCATTGGACCAAAAGGCTGGGCAATCAACAGCCTGTAGTTCTGCACGTGTGAAATTAACCCTGCACACGTTACAGGGGGCGGACCGGTTCATCCAGCAAATGACACCATTTTGTTTCCATTTGGCATCGCAGCCTGCGATGGGGCTGTGTGCATTCTGCACTACGGAAATAAACACCACAATCCCGCACCAAATCATGAATCAAAAGGAGGTGAGTTCTGCGAAGTGACTATTGCTCAGATTAAGCAAACGTGCCATTATTATTTTTTTTGCAGAACAGCGAAGAGCGCGGGAGCCTTGTTCCATGCCCGCTGGCAGGCCTGCTACCCTCTCTTGGCTCTTAAGGTTCACCAGACGTGGCCCACACACTTCAGTTTTCTTTTTGCAACGAAAGCTACAGCTCTAGAACAGCAAGCGCTGTGCCAGAACCCTTTCAGTGCTTGCACAAGGGCAGCTGCAGACCGCAGGATACACACCCATTAAATGCACCATCCAGCTGCCCAAGTCGAGAACCAGGCCTGGTTTTCTACTTGAAACTTTATTCAGACTAGATTTTCTTACTTACTTTATATCCTGCCTTTCACCCCATCTGGGGCCCAAACTGGCTTACATCCTCCCCATTTTATCCTCGCAACCAGGGCTCTTTTTGTAGAAAAAGCCCAGCAGGAACTCATTAGCATAATAGGCCACACCCAGCTGCAGGAACTCATTAGCATATTAGGCCACACCCCTGACAACAGAGCCCATTAGCACAGTAGGCCACACCCCCGTGTTACCAGAAGTGTGGTCATCCAGCCACACCCACCTTTCGCTCCTTATTCTGTTTACCTTGTTTCTTGTCAAAACCCAGGGCCTTTTTTTGTAGCAGGAACTCCTTTGCATGTTAGGCCACACACCCCTAATGTAGCCAATCCTAATGAGTTCCTGCTGTTGGGTGTGGCCTGTTATGCTAATGAGTTCCTGCTGGGCGTGGGCAACTTGGGAGCCAGCCTGAACTCCGTTCCTGTGCGTTCCTGCCCAAAAATAGCCCTGTTCGCAACAACCCTGTGAGGTAGGTGAGGCTGAGGGGGGGTGTGGCCGGCCCCAGGTCGCCCAGCGAACACCCATGGCATGAGTGGGGATTTGAGCCGGGGCCTCCCAGGCCCTCGTCTGACACGCTAACCCTAACCCCTCCACCACACTGACCCCCCCTAGAATAAAGTTTTGGGACTTGCACAATCCTTGGCAAAATGGAAACCTGAGCAACAATAAAACGTGGGCATTGCAGCTGAGCGCTTGATCGGCATTTTGGAGCACAGCTAAGATCCAAACCCATCTTTCGGTGGCTCCGTGTGACTTTTCTATTTGGATTGGCTTTGGAGAGTCAGAAAATACCCTGTGGAATAGTCAGGATCGTAAGATTCACGATGCATGGGATATCCTAAGTGGAATTCAGCCAAATAGTCTACATTTTCTAATCTGCTTTTCAAGAAGACTGACATTATAATCATTTATTTACTTTATTCCAAACAGTTATTAGCTGCCTTTTCTACCTTACAGGACCTCAAGGCAGCTGACCATGTAAATAAGTGTTCAGACGGAACAGATTTTTATTCAGAAATAAAAATTATCAGTGCATAGTATGCAGGGCTCTTTTTATAGAAAAAGCCCAGCAGGAACTCATTAGCATAATAGGCCACACCCAACAGCATAAACTCATTAGCATATTAGTCCACACCCCTGACAGCACATCTCATTAGCACATTAGGCCGCACCCCCATGTTACCAGAAGTGTGCTCATCCAGCCACACCCACCTTTTGCTTCTTATTCTGTTCACCTTGTTTGTTGTCAAAACGGTCCAGGACTTTTCTTGTAGCAGGAACTCCTTTGCATGTTAGGCCACACACCCCTAATTGTAGCCAATCCTAATGAGTTCCTGCTGTTGGGTGTGGCCTGTTATGCTAATGAGTTCCTGCTGGGCGTGGCCAACTCGGGAGCCAGCCGGAACTCCGTTCCTGTGCGTTCCTGCCCAAAAATAGCCCTGATAGTATGTATTCTGCTTCCATGATTTCAGCTTTCAAATGATTTGGAAAACTTTTGGCAAGGAAGTTAGTTACAGAACAGAATGGAAAGATTATCAAGAGCAGCTTCTCTGACTATGAGAAATTCCAACAAACTGGAGCTTAAGGGCCTACAACTAAAACCAGCCAGGCACGAGGCACACAGCAAGAAGCCTTCCTTCGCATCACATGTGACTAATCCGTGAGAGCCAGCTAGCGGTAGTGGTTAAGAGTGTCAGACTAGGATTTGGGAGACCCACGTTCGAATCCCCACTCATCAAGTTGTGGAGCACCGATATTTTATTAATTGTATTATGTTGTGTAATGTACTGTATTTTATATTGTTCTTATTGTTTTTATCGGCATTTATGCCCTTGTTAGCCGCCCTGAGCCTTCGGGGAGGGCGGGATATAAATTTAAAGAATAAATAAATACATAAATGCCGTGGAAGCCTGGGCTGGTCGCTCTCTTGGTCCGCCTAGCCTACCTCACTGGGTTGTTGTGAGGGTAAAGTGGAGGGGCGGAGAATGATGGAAGCCACTTGGGGTTCTCATTGTGGAGACAGGCAGTAAATGGAACATATTGCCGCAAGAATATAAAACTTCTTTAAAAGGACTGGATGCTGTCATGGGAGGTACATTTCCTGCAAGGGGGCTAGGCAGGATAGCTACAGCAGGGTTCAAAGGTGGCATGCCTCAGGGCAAGCATCAGGAGGTGGCCACTACCAGTGTTCCCTCTAAGCTGAGTTAGTGTGAGCTAGCTCACCATTTTTTAGCCTCTGGCTCACACATTTTTGTCTTGGCTCAGGAAGGAGGGCTCCGGAGCAAACTAATTTATACAGTAGCCAAGTCGCTCGCTCACAACTTTAATGCCGGTAGCTCACAAAGTAGAATTTCTACTCACAAGATTCCACAGCTTAGAGGGAACATTTACCACTACCCACATGCCAGACTAGATCTAGAAAGGTGATTCTAACATTCTCAAGTTCTCACGAGGGCCAGTGGCCACTGTTTTTAAGCGAAGGCTTCCGAGGTTGCCTGAACACCACATTAAGTTATACAGTTGCACTGTAAATCTGTGGGGCGTGCTTGGCCATATCCAAGAATGGCCGGACTCCACTCCACTCCTGCAGGCTTTACCAGAATACGGCTTGGAGCACAGGTCGTCTTCTGGGCCGTACACTTTCCACTGGCCTCTGCGCGCCTGGTCACCCCTCTCCGCCGAGGCCAGCGACCAGTTTCCCAGCCGGGCGTTCAAGTACTGAGAGAGCTGGTCCCCGAGGACCCGGCAGTTCCACCGCATGTTGACAGACTCCTGGTCACACTCGTAGGTGGCCAGGGTGTGGGTCGTCGCTGTGCTGGTGTTGGCAGACTTCAAGGAGACACCCAAGCACTGCATGGCCCCGATGTTGAAAAGCCGGCTCCGAGAAACCCATTTCCATTTCTGAGATGGAGCGCTGGAGTTACAGGCCTTGGAAATCTTCACTAGGGAATCTTTTGTCTCCAAGCAGCCGGGCAGCTCACTGTTATAGATGAGAAATACCCCAGAGTCTGCAAAAAGCAAAAGCAAAGTCAGTGTCAACAGGGAAAGCTGCATCA